TATATATATATATATATATATATATATGTGTGTGTGTGTGTGTATATATTTTAGAATTAAACAGTTTTAGCACACACAAATACACATTTGTTCTCCATGTCAAGCTGTCTTGACCTGTTCGTTAGATGTTTCTTCAACTAGAGAAACATAATAGAACTTGGAGCTGTTCCAGTGACAAATATAACTTGTTTCGAGGGGATGTTCATGAAATGGGCCAGGTCGGTGAGCCCACTTCAGATATATACACAACAACGAAGACATGAAATCAGTTTAAAGTGTCATTTTTTTTCACGAGGCAACGATATCTTATATTTTCTTTGATTATTAACATGTCTTTAACGTTATAAACTTTACAGCTTTAAAAATGGTGACGATTTTGTACTGTCTTCTTCTTTTTCTTAAATTTTATACAATGTGTTATAGCTGTCGGTTTTTAAATTTATACAATATGTTATAGCTGTCGGTTTTAAATTTATACAATATGTTATAGCTGTCGGTTTTAAATTTTATACAATATGTTATAGCTGTCGGTTTTTAAATTTTATACAATATGTTATAGCTGTCGGTTTTTAAATTTTATACAATATGTTATAGCTGTCGGTTTTTAAATTTTATACAATATGTTATAGCTGTCGGTTTTTGTAAACTTTATACAGTATGTTATAGCTGTCGGTTTTAAATTTATACAATATGTTATAGCTGTCGGTTTTAACCTTTATACAATATGTTATAGCTGTCGGTTTTTGAACTTTATACAGTATGTTATAGCTTTCGGTTTTAACCTTTATACAATATGTTATAGCTGTCGGTTTTAATCTTTATACAATATGTTATAGCTGTCGGTTTTTAAATTTTATACAATGTGTTATAGCTGTCGGTTTTTAAATTTTATACAGTATGTTATAGCTGTCGGTTTTTAAACTTTATACATATGTCATAGCTGTCAGTTTTTAAATTTTATGCACTATGTCATAGCTGTCGGTTTTTAAATTTCATACAATATGTTATAGCTGTCGGTTTTTAAATTTTATGCACTATGTTATATCGGTTTTCGTTACAGTTGTTATTTGTTAAACTTTATGTACTATATTTTATCAGACTGCGTTACAGTTGTTATTTGTTAAACTTTATGTACTATATTTTATCAGACTGCGTTACAGTTGTTATTTGTTAAACTTTATGTACTATATTTTATCAGACTGCGTTAGAGTTGTCATTTTCTAAACTGTCAACTATGTTTTATCGGATTGCGTTAGAGTTGCCCGTTTCAAACTTTATACACTATATCGGATTACGTTAGAGTGTCTTTTTTTCAATCAGATTGTTTAAAGTTGTCTTTTTTTTTCAACTTGATACACTACATTTGTTTTTTTCGCATTGGGCTAAAGTTGTCCTTTTTAAATTTTTTACTGGTTATCTTATCTGAACGAGTTAAATTTATTTTGCGAATAACAGGCTTATTTGAAGTATAAATAATCTAGTGGGCCAG